GTGGTGCTACCAGAACTATGCTAATTCCAGTTAGTGGATGAACATACCCTTAACCCCAGTATGACATGCCCTAAATCCAGCCAGCTCTGAAAGGCCCTATCTATGACCTCATGAACCTTATCAGAATTCAGTTAAATAGAATGGTATAAAAGGAACCAATGGCAGGAAAATAATATAATGAAAAGGATAAGTCAATACCTTTCAGTTATAACCATCAATGTGAATGGTCTCAACTCACCAATCAAAAGACAGTTTAGCAGAATGGATCATGAAACAAGATCTAAGAATATGCTGCATACAAGAAACACATTTAACCCCAAAATTCGTAGACTGAAAGTCAAAGCTTGGAAAAAATATTCCATGAAACAGGAACCCAGAAAAAAGCAGGAGTAGCTATTTTAATTGCAGACAAAGTAGATTTCAAGCCAAGCCTGATGAGAAGAGACAAAGAAGGTTAAGGGAACAATTCAACATGAAAGGATAAAAATCATGAATATATAAGTACCAATTACTGGCACACTCAACTTCATAAAACAATAATAGACATGAAAAATCAGATAAGCACCAACTACAATATAGGTGTAATGGGGAACCTCAATACCCCATTGTCACAAATGGAGAGATCAACTAGACAAAAATTCAACAAAGAAATATCAGAGTTGAACCAAACCTTTGAACAAATGGACTTAATAGATAGCTACAGAGTTTTTCACCTAACAACAGAATACACATTTTTTTCAGCAGCACATGGGACTTTCTCCAAAATAGGTCACATACTAGCTCGGAGAATATGCTTAAGTAAATGCAAAGGGATAGAAATTATCCCATGCATATTATCAGATCATAGTGCAATGAAACTAGAAATCAACAGCAAAAGACACCACAGAAATTATGCAAACACATGGAAATTAAATAATGCTCTCTAGAATAATCAGGTGAAATTTAAAAAGAAATTAGACATTTCCTACAATCAAACAATAATGCCAGTATAACTTAACGGAAGGCATGGGACACAAGGAAAACAGTCCTAACAGGGAAGCTTATAGCAATAAATTCCCACATCAGAAAAATAGCATGAACTCAAATAAATAACCTAATGATGTTATCTCCAGGTCCTAGAAAAACAAGAACAATCCAAGCCCCAAGGAAGGAAATTATAAACATTAAAGCAGAAATTAATGTAATAAGACTAAAAAACAATGCAAGGAACCAATGAATCGAAGAGTTGACTCTTTGAAAAATCAAAGAATAGACAAATCCTTAGCCAACCTTATCAAAACAAGGAAAGAAAAGACCCAAATCCATGCAAATAGACATGAAAAGGGTGAAATCACAGCAGATTCTGCAGAAATCCAGGAGGTAATTGGTAACTACTTTGAAAACATGTACTCCAATAAAATGGAAGATTCAGAAGAAATGGATAGATTCCTTGAAACATATAAACTTCCAAAGCTGAAGCAAAAAGATACAAAAATTCTGAATAATCCAATATCAGTTAATGAAATTAAAGATGTAATTAATAAAACTACTAAGAAAACTGAGCTCCTGAGGAATTCACTGTCAAATTCTATAAGAACTTTAGAGAAGATCTATTGCATTGCTTTGCAACCTCTTTAATGAAATTGAAAGGGAAGCAATACTCCCAAACTCATTCCTAGAAGCAAACATTACCCAGATACCAAAACCAGAAAAGGACTCAACCAAAAAAGAAAACTATAGACCAATCTCTTTAATGAACATAGATGCAAAAATCTTCAATAAGATACTGGCAAACAGAATGCAGAAAATCAGCAAAAAGAGTATATAGTGGCCAAGTAAACTTCATTCCAGGAATGCAGGGATGCAGGGATGGTTGAACATATGCAAATCAATAAATGTAATACACCACATTAACAAAAGTGAAGACAAAAACCACATGATTATCTCAATAGATGCAGAAAAAGCATTTGACAAAATCCACACCCATTCATGATAAAAAAAAAAAAACCCTGAAGAAAACTGGAATAGATGGTCTTTATCTCAATTTGATAAAAGTCATCTATGACAAATGACCAAATGGAGAAAAGCTGAAAGCTTTCACCCTAAAATCAGGATCAAGACAAAGCTGCCCACTATCACCACTTCTGTCCAATATAGTTCTCGAAATATTAGCCAGAGCAATTAGACAAGACAAAGAAATAAAAGGAATGTGGATAGAAAAGAAAAGAGTTAAATTATTATTATTTGCTGATGACATGATACTCTACACAGAAAACCTCAAAAACTCCACCAAAAGACTCGTACAATAACCAAATTTGGTAGTATAGCAGGATACAAAGTCAACACTAAAAAATCAATAGCATTCCTGTACACAAATAACAAATTCACCTAGAGAGAAATTAAGGACATGATACCTTTCACAATAGCATCAAGAAAAATAAAATACTTAGAAATTAACCTAACCAAGGAAGTGAAAGACCTGTACACTAAAAACTAGTATTTTGAAAAAAGAAATCGAAGAAGATATCAGAAAATGGAAAGATGGCCCCTGTTCCTGTATCAAAAGAATGAATATAATGAAAATGGCCATACTTTCAAAAATGTTATGCAAATTTAATGCAACCCCAAAATACCAATAGCATTTCTCACAGAACTAGAGAAAATACTAAAATCCATATGGAACCAGAAGAGACTTAGAATAGCAAAAGCAATTCTGGGCAACAAGGGCAAGGCAGAGGGCATCACAATCCCAGACTTCAAATTATACTACAAAGCTACAGTGATTAAAAAAGAAACACAAAAAGTATTGGCAAAAAACCCCAAACCAAACCAAACCAAACAAAAAACAGTGGAACAGAATAGAGGATGCAGAAATAACTCCAGGAACTCTTTTTGACAAAGAGGCCAAACACCTTCACTGGAAAAAAGACAGCCTCTTTAACAAATAGTACTGGAAAAACTGGCTTTCCACATGCCAAAGATTGAATCTGGATCCATATCTCCCACCATGCACTAAACTAAAATCATAATGGATCAAAGATCTAAATATTAAAACAGAAACACTAAATATGCTGGAAGATAGAATAGATAAAACTCTTGAATACATGGGTGTACACAAAGATTTTATGAACAAAACTGTTGTTGCACAAGAAATATTGCAAGGAATCAACAAATGGGATCACATCAAATTAAAAAGCTTCTGCAAAGCAAAGGAAACCACCAACAAAGTGAAGAGGCAACCTACAGAATGGAAGAAAATTACTGCCAGCAACTTCTCAGACAGAGGACTAATATCTAGAATCTATAAAGAACTCAAAAAATTAGAACCCCTCCCAAATTTAAAGACCCAATCCAAAAATGGACATCTGAAATAAATAGACACTTCTCGAATCAAGAAATACAAACACCAAATAAATACACAAAAAAATGCTCAATATCACTGGCCATTTGAGAAATCCAAATTGAAACACCAAGATTCCATTTCACTCCAGAAAGAATGGCTATCATCAAGAAATCAACTGGTAACAAATGCTGGAGGGGCTGCAGGAAAAAAAGAACCCTTCTCCATTGTTGGTGGAAGTGTAAATTGGTGTAACCATTATGGAAATCAGCATGGAGATTCCTCCAAAAACTAAAACTAGAGGTTCCATTTGACCCAGCTATTCTCCTTGTAGGTATCTTACCAAAAGAGTTAGTCATCATACCACAGTGATACATGCACACCCATGTTCATATCAGCATAATTTATAATATCTAAATCTTGGAAATAGCCCAGATGCCCATCAACAGATGAATGGATAAAGATGTGGTATTTATATACAGTGGAGTACTACTCTGCCATGGAAAAGGATAAATTTGGCACACTTTAGGTAAATGGGTGGTCCTCAAGGCCATAATCTTAAATGAAATAAATCAGACACACATGTTTAAATATTGCATTGTTTCTCTTGTGTGAAAAACCCAAAGCACAAATAAGGAGCAAAATAGAGGATAGATATTAGGAAGTAAGAAGAACTTTTTCAAATGGGAAGGGGAAGAAGAGATGGGGGAAGAGGGTGGGAAGGAGGGAAAAGGGAATTTAGTGAAAAAAAGAATTGAAGGAGAAAAATGAAAATAAAAATCTTACAAATGGGAAGGGGAGAAACGTTTTCAGGGAGGGGAGGAAAAGAGAGACCAAAAAAAGAATTAAGATGTGTTATGTACATGTACAAATTCTTCATGATGAATGTGATCACTATGTACTGCAAACATGTACTACTTTAACAAGAAAATAAATAAACAATAATTAATTTTTCTGTCAAAAAATAAAAATATAAAGTAATCGCAAATATGGGTGTTGGCAGGAGGGTGTCTACCAAAATGATAAGAGGCATTGTCTAAAGTGGTCATCATTTGGTGATTGTTGTAAGGTGATTTCAATGTTCTTTTTATCTTCCTTAATTTTACATAGTACAAAGCTCTTGTAGATTTCAGAATCAGAGAAGCAACATCTGAGTATTAAAATGCATGGAGTAACCCTTCTTAGCCCTGCCTCTTCTCTAGTCATCTTCTTTTTAAGTAGCTTCAAGTAGGCTTGTGTTGGGGGCCAGGACACAAGTTTGTGGGAAGAATAATGTCCCTTCTTTTTATTGTGGATATCAAGGTACACTGGAAATGTTGTTAAAATATGAGTATAAAATAAATAAATACATACATACATACATACATACATACATAAGAGTATAGTGTCAGAAATGCCAATCCTGGAGGCTGTTATTCTCTTAGGGTCCAATTATGACCAGGTTTCATCCTCACAATAATATAACATTAAGACAGTATAAAAACAATAACTTAACAAAACCTAGATTTTCCAGTTCCCATTCAACCTTGTTTCTGAGGGTCTTCTCCAGGCAGAAGCCCCCTTTCTGTTCTTGTGCAGATTACAAATGCTACTCTACCCGGTAGCCTACATCTGAACTATGTTCTACTAAAGCCCTTTGCAGAAGAGAGGGGAAATCCCTAAATCAGTACAACTCGCATACTTATCTTTTTTTGCTGTTGATTGAAGTTGTCAATAATAACGCCAATGAAGAGATTCAGTGTAAAGAATGAGCCAAAGATGATAAAAACTATGAAGTAAAGGTACATGAGTGCATTTGCCTCAAATTGTGGTAGTCCTTCCTGTTGGGGATTTTTTAATAAGAAAAAACACTTAGTGAAGAGAAATGAATCCATCCCAACTGCTTTATCTAGAAGACCAAAGTGTTCCTCAGCAGCAACCCTAACCACATTACCTCCTGTTGACAGCCATGACTGCTGTGGGGAGCTCTTCTTTTGTTCCCCTCACATAATTTGAGTGTATTCATGGTGGGGAGTTGAGTGGTCAGAGGCTTAGATTTTTCTTCTAAGCAATGGAGATCCACCAAGAGATTTTAAGAGAGAGGAGTGGTATGATCACATTTCTCTATTGTAAATCTCCTGAGTGAACACTCACACACTGTTGGTGGAATGAAAATTAGCACAGCCATGGTGGAAAACAGTGTTCTTCAGAAAACTAAAAATAGAACTACCTTATGATCTAGCTCTCACATTCCTGGATATATACTTGAAGGAAATGAAGTCAGCATACAATACAGAGGTACTTGCATAACCATATTTTTGTTTTGTTTTGTACCGGGGATTGAACTTGGGTCCTTGTGCTTGCAAGGCAGTTGTTGGAACAACTGAGCTAAATCCCAAGCCCTTGCATAACCATACTTATCAAGGCACTATTCAAAATAGCCAAGGTATGAAATCAGCCTAAGTACCTATCAACAGCTGAACAGATAAAGAAAATATGGTATTTATACACAATGGAGTACTACTGAATAATAAAGAAGAATTAAATCCTGTCATCTGCAGGAAAATGGATGGAACTGGAAGACATCATTTTAAATGAAATAAGCCAGACATCAAAGACAAGTATAACATATTTTCTCTCATTTGTGTAAACCATCGAAACAAACAACAACCAAAACAAAGATGACCTAAAAATAGAAAACAGAGTATTAGAGTCCAGGTAGGGGGCCAAGGAAGAAGGGAAAGTAGAAGAAAGGAAGGCAAAAGAAGGGAGAGGCATGATTAAGGCACAGTTATACTGGTATTAAAATGTCACAGTGAAACCCGCTGTTGATAATTTGTACAATTAATATGCATTAATAATTACAATAGTAGCTTTTAAAATTAAAAAAAGAAAGTCTGCTGTGCATCTGTATGGTTATATATTTGAAGTAACCATATGGAAAACAAGGTCACCAGAGAAGGGGCACATTCACCTTGGGCAGAGGTGACTAAACTACCAAACATTGTTGAACAAATACACCCTTCATATAGGGTCCACTGTCCTGTGCACTGTTCTATCTGTGGTTTTGCCCTTTCACTCTGAAATTCCTAGTGCCTAGCATATCCTCTAATATGTTGATTTTCAATATATGCTAAACGAATGCATGAATGAATGGACAATCAGGCTTCAGAGTAGATACACATTGACTCCAACCAAGTTCTTCAGGTTGGTATATGCCCAAAGTATCTGAGACTTCTTTCATCCAAGTTCTTTATGTTTTTAAATATATACATTTATATTTCTAATTGACACATAGTAATATGTGTTTATGGGAGAACAGTGTGACATTTCAATACATATATATATAATGTGTAACGAGCAAATCAGCATAATTAGTATACTCACAACCTCAGACATTTATCATTTCTTTTGAGAACTTTCAAAATCTTCCCTACTAGTTATTTTGAAATAATTAATGGTTGTCAACCATAGTTATTCTGCTGCACTATAGAATATTAGAAGTTATTCTTCTTATCCAATTTCACTTCTGTACCTTAACCATTTTCTCTCCATCCTTTTTTCCAAGGCTCTGGTAAGCACTCCTCTGTTGTCTACTTCTATGAGACCATACCTTCTGCATATAAATGAGAACATGAAATATTTGTCTTTTTGTGCCTGACTTATTTCATTGACCATAATGTTGAATAACATGTCATCCATGTTACAAATGACAAAATTTCATTCACTTTTTATGACTGAATACCCCCTTCTGTACATTTACCACATATTCTCTATCCATCCATCCATCCATCCATCCACTGGTAGACACTTGGATTGATTCCATACTTGTCTGCTGTGAATAGAGCTGCAAAAAATCATGCAAGTGCAGATGTGTCTTCAACATACTGATTTCAAGTTCTTTGGATATATACTCATATGGGTATATTATGGTAGTTATATATGGTAGTTATATTTCTACTTTTTTGAGTAATCTCCATACTATTTTTCATAATGGGTATACTAGTTTACATTCCCACCATCAGTGTACAAGAGTTGCCCTTTCTTTGTGTCCTCACCAGCATTTGGCATTTGTTTTGTTTTGATAATAGCTACTCCAACTTGGGTAAGATGATAGAACAGTGTGGTTTTGATTTACATTTCTCTGATGATTAATAATGTTGAGTATCTTTTTGTATATTTGTTATTCATTTTCATATCCTCTTTGAGAAATGTCTATTCAGATTATTTGCTCATTTTAAAGTTGGACTATTCCTGTTGTTTCTAAGTTGCTTGTGTTCCTTATACATTCCAGATGTAAGCCCTTGGTGAATGAATAGTTTGCACATATTGTCATCAGGCTTATGCTTTTGGGGATAGGTAGTGAGATGATTTCCCATTCTTCCTCCTGATCATTTTTTAAAATTATAGCTCCGAGTATTGATAGCTCTGTCATCTGTGGGATGTGTCTATGCTATCTGTCATTCAGTACCCACCACTGGCACACTCTGTAGCTCTGGGCAGCTTTCTTGTTTTCTTTCTTTTTTTTTTTTTTTTGGTACCAGGGATTGAACTCGGGTCCTTGCACTTGCAAGGCAGGCAGTGGAACCACTGAGCTAAATTGCCGGCCCTCTCTTCCTTTCTAACCCTCAATTTTCCCAGCTGAGAAACAGAAAATAGACTAGATTATTGAATACTCTTCAAATTTCTGGAATCCATGATTATTTTTTCTTTAACTGAAACTCAGAGTTGGCAATCACCAGAATCCCCTCTAGTCTCCAGGGAAATCAGAGCCATAGGAGGGTCTCTCCTGCTCAGATTTAGCCCAATACTAAGGATTTCTCACAGTCTAAAACAGGTAGTCTCTGAAATTTGCCTTCTTCCTGTGCACCATTTGGAAGAGATGAGAGAAGAGTCAACCCTCCTGTTATACTGTTGCTTCTGGCTCCATCTCTTACATGAATGTTTTTTCCTCATTCATCAGAGAGAAAGAACACTGGACTTAAAAAATATAAGGGTGTCAGATTTTCACTGGAGAATGCATTAGATTCCTATTTATCAAGCAGTGGTATTTCATAATTTTGTCCAAAAGAAAACAAAGCAGAGAACCCTGGCTGACAGAACTATAATGCAGAAAAGTTTTACACTGCCCATGTACTCACAATATCCCTGATTTGAATCTAACATTCTAGAACACTGTGTAACATTGACTTACTTCTGTGGAATCAACAGCGGCATACATAATGTCCATCCAGCCTTTATATGTTGCCTGAAACAGAAGGGAGAAACATGGCCTCAACTTGCCATCAATGAATACATGCTATACAAAGGTTACCAGGCCCCCTGGGCAAATGTCAATAAGATGGTGCCCTTCATGCCAGGATAGAATACCCACATAAAAGAACATAGAGCCAGATGTGGTAGTGCACAGCTATAGTCCCAGCTACTCAGGAGGTTGAGGCAGAAGGACTAAGAGTTTGAGACCAGTCTCAAATTTAGCAAGTTAGCTAGTCCTTGATTCACAAATAAAAAGTAAAAATGGCTGGGAATACAGTTCCAGTGTGAAGGCCCTGGATTCAATCCTCAGTACCATAAAACAAAAACAAAACAACAACCCAAGGACCTTGGATTATTATTTTCCTCTTCATTTTCATAAAGAACAAAAACAAACCTGAAAGTTTGCTAGAGAATCTGAGCCCTAATCACAGGAAAGACCAGACTCTTTCCTGATGCCATCTCTGTCTGCAAGACGGCTCCAAGACCTGGCTACTGTAGTGTGAATGGGGAATTGTTTACAATGACCTGCACCTGAGGCTCTGCTCCTGTCTGGCTGGAGCTCTAGAGCGCACACACCACAGAAGATAGGGGAGAGGCTCAGTGGCCCACAAAGTTGGAAATTCTCAGTGAGAAACAGTTTCAGAGGGCACTGGCTCCCACATGAGGATTCAATTCTATTATCTTAATGGAGTCACCTAATTTTATGACCTGAGAAATTATTTAAGATTTCGCAAGTTTGCTCTTCTCAGAGTGAGAAACAACAGCACTTACCAACAGCACTTACCACTTGCAGCAGAGCGAGGTAAGCCATCCCCACATGGTCAAAGTTGACATTTGGGGGGTTCCAGGTATAATTTTCATTAGTGCATTTGTCATCTCTTAGAATTTTGTTATCATTTACATTTCCAAACTTTCCAGAAAAGAAGTTTACTCCCAGAATACAAAACGTGAGCCAGAAAATGAGGCAGACAAGCAAAACATTCACAATGGCTGGTATGGCCCCTATGAGAGCATTAACCACCACCTTAAAGAAACAGAGCAGAAGAAAAACATAACAGATGGGTAGGACTTACCAAGATCTTTACCATCCCAGGATGAGCCTGATGTGCAGGGCTGGATTTCCTCAAATTCTCTCTTTACTCACCACACTTTGTCCCCCACCCCATGGCAAATCCTGCTGTCAGTTCCAGCTGTCACTGAGAATAACCTGAGCAGCATCCTGTGATGACTTAGGAGATCCCTGTCCTAGGATTCTGAAGGGGCTGGGTGGGAGGAACCCTATGAAAAGCTTAGCAATTGAAGAAAGGCCAATCCCAGAAGAGCAGCCAGTCTCTTTGCCTTTCTCTGTTAGGGGGAATCTCCATCCATCCACTTGGAGACTGTACCTTCATTCCTTCAAATCGAGACAGTGCTCGAAGAGGCCTCAGTGCTCGCAGAGTCCGTAAGGCTTTCCATTTCTGTAGGTCCACAAAACTGACCACCACCGAGACCTGGCGGGAGGAGAACTGACTGTGAGTGTCTGGGGAAGCCAAGAGGGCTTGAGAGGCCGAGTCTAGCAACAAGTCAGACCCTGCTGGAAGGAAAAGGCAGAGGAAAGGTGGCCACTCTCCTGGTCTGGTAAATCTAGTCCATAAGAGTGGGAAAGATGCATTTGTATTGTTTATGAAAGACCAGGAAAAAAATGAGAAACTAATGTGAATTAAAGGAAACCAAAGAAACATGACAATGATATGTGGAATGGGATTTTGAATTGGGTCCTGGATTCGAGCAGGGACAGAAGGCAGGTCAGTAAAGAGAATTAGTCATAAAGAATCTTGTTGTGACAACTGACAAAATTTGGAAATGGATGTGGACTTTAGTATAGAATTAATGCTAAATTTCCTAATTTTGATCATTATATTCTAATTACATGATACAATCCCCTTGTTAGGAAATACAGACTGAAATGTTTAGCAGTAAAGGTGCATGATGCTTGTAATTTAATCTTAGAGAGGGAAAGAGGGAGGAGAGAATATGAGAATATATGCAGATGGGAGGCTGGTGAAACTAGAGATGAAAGGTTCTTTATACTATTTCTTGCAGCTTTTCCACTAGTTTGAAATTAGATTAAAATAAAAAGTTACAAAGAAAAAAATAACTTGTTTGCTAATATTTCTCATTACTCACATAGCTCCTTTTTGGGAAACAAAATGCATTTTTCTCTCCCAAATACTTCTTCCTAATGGGATAGGACAGAGGGTGGGGAAGTTATGCTAAGTACACTGAATGAAACCCTAACAATATGCTGAACTCCAGGCCTCTTTTAACAGATATTCAGTATCTTTTATTTGTCTTGGAGTCAAAGAGGTTCATCTTGGAAGAGGAGTAGCTCAGTTGGCCAGAAGGTGAGTTATGGTGTCCTTGAAATAGCCAATGTCAAAGTTCACTGTTATCTAAAACATTCCCCACTAGTCCTGTCAGCTTCAATGTAGTAGTAACATATCTGCAAATTAGGTGAATATAACAGAATAACACAATTTAAAAATTTTATAACCAATTTAAAATGTTCTTATTTATCATGATTTTTAAAAAAGGCCTGTTGCTGCTAATAGTATTGCTTGTTGGAAGAGTATTCCAGGGAGTCTCTCACAAATACTCTTTCTACTATCCCTAGCCTAGGAAAAGGATGGTAAGACTTAGCTTGCATTTATCACTCTGCAATGCTTTTGAAATTATCATGTATATTCTTATAGTTCGTGCCTTTTAACTGTTGTAGAATATTACAGCATATAAATAATCAGGTTTTTTGGATCTATTCTCCTTTAGTGAGTATCTAGGTAATTTCCATTTCTTTACTACTATGAACAGCAATAAACTGACGGCATGTGTGTTTTTCCTGTATATATTCAAGAGTTTTCTTTGGATGTAGAAGAGAAAGTGATATTTCTAGATTGTACGTTGGGATCCTTTGTAATTTTATTTAATAGTGCAAAGCTTTTCCTATAATGGTTGTACCATGTAAATTGTTAGCAGTGATTAAGATACTCCATTTTCCTATATCCTTCTCAATATTAGATATCAACGAACTTTAAAATATTTGTCAATCGAATAAGTGAAAGAGATCTCTGATTTTACAGTGCACTTCTGTGCTAACTAGTGAAAATACTGGTACTGTGCATTTCTTTATACATTCATTATTATCTTAAATTCCTTCTGTGAGTTGCCTGTTTGTATTTTTCTTTCATTCTTACTTTGGCTTGTCTTTCTCCTGAGGATCTGTAGGGAGTTTTATATATTGTAATAATGGCCTACTACATGCATGACAAATACTGTATCTCAGACTCTTGCTTGTCTTTAATTATAATTTTAGTATTGTTTAATAGAAAAATAAAAGTTTTATATTTTGATGTAGTTGAATTTGCATATTTTATGTGGTTTATGTTTGTGTTCTTCTACTCCAAAATTATAAAAATCGTTACATGTAATGTTGGTTGACAAGCAACATTATAGGATTGGTCATAAAAATTCTCTCACTTAGCCAGGCACAGTGGCACATGGCTGTAATCCCAGCACTTGGGAGGCTGAGGCAGGAGGACTGCCATGAGTTCGAGGCCAGCCTGAACTACATAGCAAGAACCTGTCTCAAACTCTCCCCTCAATTCTCTCACTTAATCTGCACAGCTATGTCCCAAGCTAAGCAGTGTACTACAGCACCTACCATATAACAGACGAGAAAGCCTGAAGCTCAAAGGATGAGAAACTTGGTTCAGGTCCTGGAGTTGATTAGTGGTCAAATGGAGATTCGCAAGTCAGTTTGTATGACCTCCAGGCTAACAACAGTAGTAGTGAACCATGCTTACTGAGTGCTTTCTCTTTGGTTTATAAACATGTATGATTATAAGATTATTTTCTTTTCTTGATCATTTCTGTCCTATTTATTTTGTTATCAAGATTATATTTGTCTCATTAATTAAGTTTGTAAGTTTTCTCTCTTTTCTACTCTGTAACAATTTGAAAAAGAGTGAGGTTAACTGCTCTTTAGAAGCTTAGTCAAACTTGCCTGTAAAACCATCTGGTACTGGTCCTTTTAGTGGTTTGAACTGCTCTTTTGATATTTTAAGGGTTATTGCCTGATTTATATTTTATATTTGGTCAATTTAGTCAGTTTATAATCCTCATTTTTATTAATTAAAAAACTAATGTAAAAGAAGGGAAATGCTCTCCCCAAGGTTGCATTGATCAGTTATCTTTAGGACACAGTGTCCTAATAGTACAGTTAGAAACAAAGGAGCTGAGAGAGTCACTTCCTTACTTCTACTTAACTGGCAACAGCACCCTATGGTTATTTCTGCCTCCATTATGCTAAGAGAGATACAAAAATAACAAAAGCCTAAGAGATCACCATGCACTGGTGCCAGCGAGGGATTTGGGGGTCGGGGTGGGGGCACCAAAAGCAGAGGTGTCTGAGCTTTAGATTCTGAAAGCCTGAGTTATTCGCCTTTTCCCCCCTTTTTCCTGTTGCTGTTGCTACCTTTCTCAAGATCTTCGGTAAATGTAGCTACTTACCACTTACTACTTGGTGTGCACTTTCCTCGTCACACACAAGAACCTGGACTATTATTGGCCCATTCAACTATAATACTGAGTGTTGGGCTTATACAGTATTCAGTAAGCAAAGATCCCTATCATGGAGGGAGATAACAGTCTTCTGTTCACAAGACTTCTAGCTCATTAATGTACAGGCTTTTCATCATAACTTAAGATAATGGGTGAGAGTTATTTGCACTCTGGAAGCTGACAAAAATGTTGTATTGTTTCTGTTTCCTCCCTCAAGTTCTGTTGGAGCACCCAGGTACTGATACTTTTCTAAAATGCCTGAACCACACAGCCTGTTTCCATCCACTAGCAATATGGTTTTCTGGCAAGGTTTACTCCACTGGATTATGCTCATGCACTTATTTTTTTACTTCCTAGTTTGGACAAAATCAAATTTTTTCATGGTAGAAAGATAGATATTACAGTCTAAGACTTTGGGGTGAGACTTACTAGGTTTTGGTCTTGATTTTTGTTTTGGGGAATTTGTTTTTGTTTGTCTGTTTGTTTGGTTTTGAGGCAGGGTCTTGCTGTGTAGTCCAGGCTGGCCTTGAACTCACTATGCAGCCCAGGCTGGCCTCAAACTAGCAATGATCCCTCTGCCTCAGCCTCCCAAATGCTGGGATTACAGGCATAAACCACCACATCTAGCTCTGGGACACTATGTTTTGAATCTTATCTCCACTACTTCTTGCTGGGAACTCTTGAACATTCTTTGGCTCTCTGTGGTTTATTAACTTTCTTTGAATATGGAGAAAATAATAGTATCTACCATAAAGAGTGGTTGTGATAACTACAAGAGAGAACACAAGTAGAGGATATGGCACAGTTCCTAGTACAGAGAAACCCCTCAATAAATGTGGTCCACTGTTACTACTATTAGCTTTAGCATTATACAGGTAGAAGGAGATAGGAATTCCAATTTCACCATTAATCAGTCCTATGACTTGAAACATGTTCCTAATCCTCTAAGCTTCGGGTTTCCTCATCTGTGATATGGTAGCTGCCATATAATGGTGCTGAATACAGAACAATTGTTGCACAGATTAAATGAGAGGCTGTATGTGAACTATCCCCTTCTTCTGCCTGAAAATCAAGAATGGGACTAGTCTAATCTGATGACTGCTTAGCTGCTTTGAGAAGTCTTGAAATGGAAAGTTGGAAGGAGAAGGGAAAATGGATGACACTCAAAGGCAGTCTATGTTCACATCCAATATAGGTAGTGCTTATGGAGACAAGAAGATGAGTGCCATCATGGGAAAGTGCATAGAAAGGGCATTATGTGAAAGGTGGGACCCAGGAGAGGCTGGGCTGCTGATGGACAAATGGCAACTACCTACACGTACTCTGAAGAGGGAATGATGACAAGAAAACATTTTGGAGATGCACACAAAAGGCACACAGGAAAAGGAGTTCCCTTATAATCCCCCTCCTCACCCCCTGCTCCAATCTGCTTGGGACACATAAATGGTAAACTTACAACCACAATGATGAAATCAAGCCAGCACCAGGCATTGGTGAAATACTTCCTAAATCCAAAGGCCACCCATTTCAGAGCCATCTCCAGAACAAAAATAGACGTGAAAATATTGTCAGTACAATTTAGTAAATTTTGGATGTGGGGATATTCAGGAAGATGAATATCTTCGAATACCTGAAATAATAAAACATAACCATAGACCAGATTGGATATTTGCAAAGAATTTCTTGCTTACTTTTTGCTTTTCTTATGTTAATAAAAAATGGCATTTTTCTTAGTGATAAGGTTTTGCTCAAAAGGTAGTAAAGCTATCTAAAATTTTCCAATGGAATTGATTCTTTGAGTAAATGAAAATAAAAATTGGAAAATCTTACCAAAGTTTCTATATTTCTGTTGCCCTGTCATCCCATAGTCTCCTTCACTATCCCTGGAATGCACGTCTTCCTAGTGGATCACTGCACCATTCCTGGCCTTACTAACCTTTTCAGTTCTTCCCAACTTTTCTAGAAACACTCAGAAGCATAGGCCATCTCTTTTATTCTTCTGGTCACCTCAGTGAGGCCATTGTTTGTTTGCCTCTTGAGGACAGACAAATCTGACTGGTGTTAGAGACTCATTTTTCTCTCTCATTTTGAAAGCTCAGCAACAGGCTGCCTAAGCTCTCTGAGTTGGCTCAGTGAATGAGCTGGCCCAACAGCTGAGCTTTGGAGGCTCTTGTTTTACAATTAGGCCATTTTGGGATCCAGGAGGCTCTCATTACATTGTTGCCCAGCTCAAGCTTGTCAAATTCTAACAAGCCCCAAATCTACCATGTAGATTCTGATTCAGTGGGTATAGGGAGGGCCCAAGACTCAGCTTTAAGGTTGGCTGAGCTGCTGACCAATAGACCAAATACAGTGCATTTTGCTATTCCTGTTTCTGTATAAATATGTACAATGACATGAGTTGGGTCTCTCTCCCAGCATCCTCTGCATTGTACGTTCAGTATTGCTCTGCCCCACTTACACTTGCCTCACTGAAGATCAGATCAGTGGTGGTGCGCAGTGGTGGTATGCACTCTGCCACATCTCTGATTACACCTCTATGTCTATGCCCTTGGACAGCACCACTGCTTTCCCACTGACTTGCATGAGCACCATGTATGGAGTAGAACCACAGAATAAGAGTGGACATCCAGTGGGGATGTGGTCACCAGAAGATACAAGTAACCCCCTGACCAAGAACTAGCAATAAAAATTAATTAAGGGAGTCCCCTAGGGTGGCTGTAGAGACATTTGGTTTTTTGTTTAAAGAAGTTGATCTGTCCCTAAATCAAGAAGGAGAAGCCAGCAGTCTGTTCATTTAACATAACAAACACTAAGGGAGGTTAGTTCCATATTATGACCATCTTAAGGGAAGATATAAGATAGAAGGGGAGGGAATAAAGATAGAAAAGGGAGGAAAAGACAGAGGAAGGTAAAAGATAAGAAGATAAGGGGGGAAGTTTATGACTATATGTCTGTGGAAGCAGTTATTTTTAAACCTCCCTAGGACTTGGGACTCAGACAGTTTGAAGATCATCAACATAAAGCAGCATCTTCTTTCCTACCTTTCAAGGGGTCACTAATGATGAGAAATACCAGAGCATATGGTTATGTCCTACTCTGGTTCCTGTAGCCCCCTCCAATAATGTTTTGTCTTTTTCAAAGCAGCACTATGATCTTCAAAGAAGGGAGGATAGGAACATTATTATCTGAGGGGGCGGGATATGTAGGGTATAATGAAAGGGTCTAGAAATCATCTGAGATGAGGGGTAGAGATCAAGGAATAGAAATCACTTTACAGCATTGATTTGAAGTATTCTTCTCCATAGGTAATAGCATCTTTGGCATGAGAATTTCACAGCTGCAGTGTGATTGTAGAAGTTTTTGTGCAAAACTCTACCTGCTAAAGGAACTACCAGTGAAAATTCCACTTCTGAACTGGTCTCCCCACATTCAAAGACCCGTGACAGTGGCCCCAGATGCCCTGATACCCAATGTCCCCACAAAACTAAGATAATTTACCAGTGCCCCACTGCTCAGCAGAATCACAAAGATAATAAAGCTCTCAAACCAACTGTGTTTGACTATTTGGTAGCAGGTTTTCCGTAGGTTCCACCAAATGACCCAGGGTGATGTTCTCTTGTCCATTTTACAGCATGGAAGGAAAGAACTCAGTCCTGAAAGGAACCAGCATGAGTACTATCATTAGTGCGTTAGTCAATGGAATTAATAGCCCCAATTTTCAGTCCTTCTCATATTTGTGTCCCTGATCTTGTGGCCTACTGTTCCTTCCATTAAAGAGATAAACTCTCTTTCCAACTCCTTAAATCTGGATTTCTCCTTGTGACTTCCTTTGACCAGTAGGGTGGAGTTCTGGTCACAGTATGCTAGTTCTGAGCTTAGGCTGTGAAAACCTTTTTATGTTTCCACTTGCCCTCTTGTACCATCTCCACAGGGAAGACATGTTTAGGTTATCCCATTGGTTCTGGGAAAAGATGGTAGACATATGAAGCAAAGACAAGTTGCCCAATTGATCTCAGGCTAGATCGTCTGATTACCAGGAGACAATAACACACAAATAAAGCCATCTGCAATTAGCAGATACCCAGTATAGGTCAACTGAATCATGCAGATACATTATTGTATGCCACTGAGGTTTTGTGATTGTTAATTATGAAACAAAATTTTGGAGAATAGCATACAGATTGTGTCCAGAGAATTGTAGGGAATGAGATAAACATGGCTATAGGGTTTGTGAACCACCCAAGCCATACATACATACATGGTCAGTTTCAGAGGTGTTTCTCAATAGCTGAGCATTTGTTGAAACATAAAAGCTTCTAGCTTGTAGATCACATTATCCTTTTTACTTTGTCTCCTCTTCCTCTTCAAATTCTGACAATCCCTACTTCACGGTGAATACACCATTCCATTCTTTATCATCTTTCTAAGCCACTGTGAGGTCTCCTCACTCTTCCCCTTTTCTCCCTCCATCTTTCAGAACATCAAGAGGTTGTACATTTTCCTATAAGACTATTTCTTCTGACCCTTTTTTCCACTCCTTCTACCTCTAGAAACCCACCTTGTCCCTCTCTATTGTTGACATCCTGTGCATATTTCAAGGACCAGGACATTGGAAATCCCTAAACTAGCCTCTGTTCAGCTTTGGGACTATCAAACAACCTGAAATATGAATTTGGAATCCCTTCTTGGTCCAGCTCAGTCCCACACTTATGGAGAAATTTTTAATTTTCAATGTCTTTACTCATTTGTTAAGTCACTTATTTATTGAGTTAAACCCACTGTCTGGGCCAGGTTCTATTTTCACACTACATACACAAGGCTGATTAAGTCAGTGCTTTCATTTTCAGGGATTCATGGCAGAGGTACATACAAATAAATTCCCACCATAACTATAAGAAATAATAAAGGTTCATAGGGAGGAGTCACACTACATCTGCTAAAGGAACAGGAAACTGTGCATTTATTGTTGCTTATATGCATTATATGCCAGATACTCACCTAAGGGATTTGTATTTATTCATTTAATACCCACAACAACCTGTGCAGGAAGTACTATTATTATCTTCATTTTATAATGAGGCCCAGAAAGGTTAACTAAATTGTTCAAGTCATATAACTAGAAAATAGATGAGTCAGAATTTGAGCTCAGCAAAGTTTACAAAAAACTCCAGTCCTGAGACTGTGGAAATAACTGGTCACATGCAGTGCAACCCCCAGTTTGAGTTTGCAAAAGAAGCCTGACCCCCACACCTCACCGAGGTCCCCAGTCACGTGGAACACATGCTGAATCAGCCCGCTGCAGACAGGCAGCCACCTGATTCCACAATACAAAGAAGCAGAGGACACCAGACCACCAGACCAAAGTGCTGAGTCCCACTGTTCCCGGCCCAGAGGTAGGGGCTTCTGAACCGTCATGCCACTGCTCCTGGCCCAGAGGAAGGGGCTTCTGAGTCACCATCCAACTGCTCCTGGTCCAGAGGAAGGGGTTTCCTGGCCACCATCCCTCCGGCTGCTCCCAGCCCACAGGAAAGGGCTTTTGGGT